CTAACCCCTAAGGGAAGTTCCTGACGCTGGTGACGGGGCTCTTGATCTAGGGAATTGGATCTGTGCTCCGGTTCCCTGCCCCTCAAGGGAGGTTCCTTGACGCTGGTGACGGGCTCTTGATCTAGGGAATTGGATCTGTGCTCCGGTTCCTGCCCTCAAGGGAGGTTCCTTGACGCTGGTGACGGGCTCTTGATCTAGGGAATTGGATCTGTGCTCCGGTTCCCTGCCCCTCAAGGGAGGTTCCTTGACGCTGGTGACGGGCTCTTGATCTAGGGAATTGGATCTGTGCTCCGGTTCCCTGCCCCTCAAGGGAGGTTCCTGGACGCTGGTGACGGGCTCTTGATCTAGGGAATTGGATCTGTGCTCCGGTTCCCTGCCCCTCAAGGGAGGTTCCTTGACGCTGGTGACGGGCTCTTGATCTTGGGAATTGGATCTGCGCTCCAGTTCCCTGAATTGAGCCTGAATACCTTCCATCCTCCCCCCCCCCCACAATCGCTGTATAATCCTATGGGTTTAGCGCTCCTCCATGATTAGAATACTAATATGGAAACTAATATCACAATTTCTTCAAGAAAACAACAAATTGACACCTACACAGCCCAAAGCCAGTTCGAATCTTCTATCAAGATACACCAGTTTTGAAAGTTTAAGTCCACTTGGAAGAGGTATTCTCTAGTTAACACACAATGAATAATATCACATATGTGTCAGCACTTTTAAGTTTTAAACTGCTCGGAGCTTGCAATCTCATGTTATCGGCTTCAGATGGGTTTAGTGCTTCCCCTGATTAAAATTTATACGTCAATATGGTATGAGATACCATATTAATGTATAAATGAGTAAAATGAGGGTATCGGCTAAATACTGGGTATTTTAGAAACTGCACTATCTCTAGATATGAACTATATATTTTGTTAGTAATTCTATTTCTTTCAGGGTCTCTCTACCTTGCTGTTGGTGAATGGCTCTTAATCTACCAGAAGAATTTAAGCTACATGTCCCTGCCTTGAATCAAACATGATTTTTTTTCTCATTTCCCAAGCATTGGACTCTTCTATGGTATTCAGCGCTTCCCCATGAATATGATGATAATAATAATAATAATTCTGTAATCTGTTATGTCAACTATAGCCATAATTAATATTCCTTCTCAGGGCCTGACTGTCCGCTCTGCCCAAAAATTTCTGAAATGCATGGAAATTAATTTCCACTCTGCCTCCATCGTCCGCTCCGAGAGGCGCATCTTAGAGCAGTTGGACTCACGGGTATGTTACTCCACTCTCCACAGCCTTCAATCAATCAAAGTTTATTCTCTATAAGGATTACAATGCTGGGTTTACAGATTTTGGTTATTGTGTGGTTTACATGTAATAAGATACTAATTACAGAGGGGGGTCACTAGAACACCTAGCATGGCTAGGCATTTCGGGCAAACTTAGATTAATTCTTAACCCTAAATTATTACAAATTGTGGAGTAAGTTGACTAAATACTAAGTGACTAAATACTAGCTTGTGAGTTTAGCAATGTGAATGCTTTTGTTTTGGCACAATACATAGTTTCTATACTGGAGTATCACAGGCAAAATGACCAGTTAGGAATCATTATTTTAAGATTAAGATACGTATTTCTGTGCTTATAGTCAAATGGGTGAGTGTAAGTGTGAACCACCAGGTGGTTTTTATGTAGTTAGTTGACGGGGTGTATCAGGGAGATAAGATGTTTTCTAACGGTAGTTTTGAAGGTGATGAATGTGTCTGCAATTCTAGAAACTGTTAAGAATCCATTTTTGGTCTGTGAACTTGTGCATCACCCTTGGTGGAGTGTGGACATCTCGCTCTACCCAGCTTTGAACGCTGGTGATAATCCTCCCATTCTCTTCCTGGGATGCTTGTTCTCAACATACACCGCCAGTTAGGCAATTGGGTCGGGTCACCATATATCAGTGCCTTATAGCCACTCTGTGGATTTCTAAAGCTTGGGAAAAGCCGGTTGTTGACTCAGGATTTATGTACAAAGCCCACTTCATCTATGTGGGAACTTTTTGTGCTTGTTTCTGTTTTCACAGAAAACTATTCTGTGTAGGGTACAATACCAATTATGGTGCAAATGTTAGAATTGCCAAAATGATGTGTTTAGTGTACATACGATCGCTGATAGATTACCATGCACCAGTTTTAGTAACACGTTAAACCATTTCTGGTGGCTAAAGCTCCCGCTTCACACACGGAGGGCTCGGGTTCGATTCCCGGCGGGTGGAAACATTTCGATACGTTTCCTACACCTATTGTTCTATTCACCTAGCAGCAGATAGGTACCTGGGTGTTAATCGACTGGTGTGGGTCACATCCTGGGGGACAAGATTGAGGACCACAATGGAAATAAGTTAGACAGTCCTCGATGACGCACTGACTTTCTTGGGTGGCTAACCCTCCTGAGTTAAAAATCCGAACGAAATCTTATCTTATCTTGGAAGACTTGAAAAGACTCAAAATGAAGCCAAAGATTTACTCTTGTCAAGATAAGATTTCGTTCGGATTTTTAACCCCGCAGGGTTAGCTACCCAGGATAACCCAAGAAAGTCAGTGTGTCATCGAGGACTACCTGTCATATTTCCATTGGGGATTCTCAATCTTGTTCCCCAGGATGCGACCCACACCAGTCAACTAATACCCAGGTACCTACTTGCTACTAGGTGAATAGGACAACAGGTGTAAGGAAACGCGTCGAAATGTTTCTACCCCGTCGGGAATCGAACCCTGGCACTCCGTGTGAAGCGAGAGCTTTGCCAGCCAGGCCATGGGGTCACCTAACCACCACCAAAATACTTAATGTGATGAAAGAATTAGGCATACCTAGTGTTGCTGATATAATAGGTGAAATCAGTGCTATTATAGGACTGAAATATTGAGTGGTGTTCAAAACCATTTTTTTCCCCTAGAGAATTACTAGAACATATAATATTAATATATTTTTATGTACCTTATACCCATCCTGTGGGGATTAGTGAAACGATTACATAAGCACACCCCTCAGGGAAGGTTCCTTGATGTTGGTGAGGGGCTCTTGATTTAGGGAATTGGATCTGTGCTCCAGTTCCCCGAATTAAACCTGAATGCCTAGCAAATTCCCCCCCCCCAGGCGCTGTATAATCGTACGGGTTTAGCGCTTTCCCTTGATTATAATAATAATAATAATACAGAGGCACATAATGGGTCCTGGAACTGGGCCACAAAGTTTTGATAGCTAAACAAGTTAAAAGTGGTAATGAACTATTTACGTTTTGACTCCTGGTTACAGTTACAATGGTTACTTACGCAGACATCCAATTAAGTCATGTTTAATTTAGGGAACCGGACATATTTGCAGTTTGGATATTTTATTTAGGGTACATTTTGCGGGGAACTTTAGTAAACTCCCTGCGACTGAAAAATAGCTTAAATAAAATATTAGTTTAATATTTTTGTTATGCACACCATACACATTCTGTGGGCGGTAGTCAAAGGATTACAGAGGTACAAAATGGGTCCAGGAACTGGGCCCCAAAGTTTTGATAGCTGAACAAGTTACAAAGGTAATGAACTCCCGGTAGATCTGGTCACAATCATGATAGGTTACAAAGGTAATGAACCATCTACACGTCTATATTTAGACTGCATTTATGTTCATTTTCCTATATTGTTTAGTGAAGTTTTGCCAGCTTATGAACCTCCCTTTTGTATAGTTCTTGTATATGTGATGAATAACGATTATTTTCATTAATGAGAAGAGTACAGCATTAATATTGTCATTAGCACTTACACTTCTATACCAGTTGCATGACTTAAGAGAGCGCTCTATGACCCTTGTGGATTTAGCGCTTAGTTATCCTTATAATAATAATGCATGACTTAGACATTCTCTCATCCACAGTGCTACCAGAATAGTTCCATGCTGGCATTCATTGGAGTAGTGATCTCAGTGGTTGGACTATGGGAAGGTGATGGGACTAACTTCACAGATAATATCAAAAGGAGTACCATTAAGCCAGTATTGGCAGAACCACTGTTTGAAATGTCACTTAACTTATTAGACATGGTTTATCTCAATCGCGAGAAGGTTTATCAAGACCTGTACACATCCCTGACTGGATTACCAGCCATACCAGATAAACATAGGTAAGCTGTACATCAAAGTCACTGACAGAACATGCCTTTAAAAAGTTGTATAGCCCTTGTGGTTTAGCGCTTCTTTTTTATAATAATAATAATAATAATAATAATAATAATAATAATAATGCCTTTAAAAAATGATCGGTGAGAACGTTATCAAATTACTTGGAGTTTACCTGGAGTAAACTCCAGGTAATTTGATTATACATAGAGAACTAGACACCCCTTCCTGACTCAATCTTTCTTTTAGTATCTGATTATTGGCTTTTATAAGAAAGTGCATAGTTCTTTATGTAACTGGCTCTCTCGACATATCTTGATTTATGTACTGTATATGGGGTGGGTCTATATGCAATCTTGAACTGTAGTATCAGCTTCCCTCAGGCAAGAAAGTGATGGTAAAAGTGTTTCTTCTTTTTGGGGGGGTCACCCTACCTCAGTGAGAAACGGTCGGTTCGTGGGGAAAAAAATTGTTGGTTTACTGCATGCCACAGGTAAATTGGATAAGGACAGGTATTATTTCTCTCATTCATGGTTTATAAGAAACTGACCAAAATATGTTTAAGGTGACTGAATTGTATCTGCTGTCATCAGTTCCAGCAATTTGGCCATTATTGAGGTCAGGCTGATGGGCCATTAATTTGAAGGTAGGAGTCTAGATAGGTTTCACATAGCCATCTTCCATTTCTATGGCAATATATTTATTTGTAGTAATACTATATTGAAGTCATTAACAAAAGTTTTACTAAACTTCTCTTTGCATCCGATAAGAAAACAATTCATCAGGGCCCAGGGATTTGTTTAGTTTTAATTAATTTATTTGTTTGAGAGCTGTTCCTAGTAACTAATTTTTCAAAATTTGTTTTCATTGCATTGTCTATATTTATTAATGTGCAATTTTAAATTGTGTTTTCTTATGTGAAATTAAACAGGGAATAGTTGTTATTAAACTAATTTCTTTGTCCTTATCAGTAAATTGCCTTCAGCTAGATTTAAGTGACCCATTTTTTTTTTTCTAATTTTTATCTTGTTATGGAAATCTGGATTTGGGTTTGAGATGACAAATGTGGCACATACTGAATGCATAATAGGACATTTATGTAAACAGGGAATAGTAATGCATCTAGGATGTTGCTTTATGGTGCTCCCATGTTTATGGGTAGATTTGTTGATGAAATGAAATTTATGGTTACATAGTACAGTATTTCTGTAAATAAGGTGTCATTCGGGCTTAAATACATGCTTACCAGGTGATATTCCCACACAGTAAGAAATAATACAAAAAATGTTTCTTAATACTTCAGCTGTCTTAAGTTCCACTGTTTTCACAAATTTACATTTTGCCCAGTGCCTACCCACACTCAGGATTCATGCTAAAGAGCATACGTATTAGATTAGAATAGAGTTTATTCGGATTTTTAACCCCGGAGGGTTAGCCACCCAGGATAACCTAAGAAAGGTAGTGCGTCATTGAGCAACTGTCTTACTTTCATTGGGGTCCTTCAACCTTGTACCCCAGGATGCGACCCACACCAGTCAACTAACACCCAGGTATATTCTTGCTTGCTAGGTGAACAGGACAACAGTTGTAAGCAAACACACCCAATGTTTCTGCTGTTTACCTGGAGAGAGTTCCGGGGGTCAACGCCCCCGCGGCCCGGTCTGTGACCAGGCCTCCTGATGGATCAGAGCCTGATCAACCAGGCTGTTGCTGCTGGCTGCACGCAAACCAACGTATGAGCCACAGCCCGGCTGGTCAGGAACCGACTTTAGGTGCTTGTCCAGTGCCAGCTTGAAGACTGCCAGGGGTCTGTTGGTAATCCCCCTTATGTATGCTGGGAGGCAGTTGAACAGTCTCGGGCCCCTGACACTTATTGTATGGTCTCTTAACGTGCTAGTGACACCCGTGCTTTTCATTGGGGGGATGTTGCATCGTCCGCCAAGTCTTTTGCTTTCGTAGTGAGTGATTTTCGTGTGCAAGTTCGGTACTAGTCCCTCTAGGATTTCCAGGTGTATATAATCATGTATCTCTCCCGCCTGCGTTCCAGGGAATACAGGTTCAGGAACCTCGAGCGCTCCCAGTAATTGAGGTGTTTTATCTCCGTTATGTGCGCCGTGAAGGTTCTCTGTACATTTTCTAGGTCAGCAATTTCACCTGCCTTGAAGGTGCTGTTAGTGTGCAGCAATATTCCAGCCTAGATAGAACAAGTGACCTGAAGAGTGTCATCATGGGCTTGGCCTCCCTAGTTTTGAAGGTTCTCATTATCCATCCTGTCATTTTTCTAGCAGATGCGATTGATACAATGTTATGGTCCTTGAAGGTGAGATCCTCCGACATGATCACTCCCAGGTCTTTGACGTTGGTGTTTCGCTCTATTTTGTGGCCAGAATTTGTTTTGTACTTTGATGAAGATTTAATTTCCTCGTGTTTACCATATCTGAGTAATTGAAATTTCTCATCGTTGAACTTCATATTGTTTTCTGCAGCCCACTGAAAGATTCGGTTGATGTCCGCCTGGAGCCTTGCAGTGTCTGCAATGGAAGACACTGTCATGCAGATTCGGGTGTCATCTACAAAGGAAGACACGGTGCTGTGGCTGACATCCTTGTCTATTGATTAATCTATTGATTAATGATACTCAGCATGGATTCACAAGAGGCCGGTCTTGTCTAACTAATTTATTAACTTTCTTCAGTAAAGCTTTTGAGGCTGTTGACCACAATAAAGAATTTGATATTATTTACTTAGATTTTAGTAAGGCTTTTGATAGAGTTCTGCACCATAGACTGTTAAAGAAAGTGGCAGCTCATGGCATTGGGGGAAAAGTGCTCTCGTGGATCGAGTCATGGCTCACTGACAGGAAGCAGAGAGTGTCCATAAATGGGGTTAAATCCGAGTGGGGATCTGTAACAAGTGGCGTTCCACAGGGATCAGTCTTGGGCCCGTTGTTGTTTATAATATATATCAATGATCTTGATGAGGGAATTACTAGTGATATGAGCAAATTCGCCGATGACACAAAGATAGGTAGGATAATTGACTCAAACGTAGATGTTATGGAACTTCAGGAGGATTTAAACACACTCTATTCTTGGTCAGAAAAGTGGCAGATGCAGTTCAATGTAGATAAATGCAAGGTTCTGAAGCTTGGGAATGCCTATAACCCTAGTACTTTTAAGTTAAATGATGTAGAACTTAGCCATACAGATTGCGAAAAGGACTTGGGGGTTATGGTGAGCAGCAACCTTAAACCAAGACAGCAATGCCTAAGCGTACGTAATAAGGCAAATAGATTACTGGGATTTATATCAAGAAGTGTAAGCAACAGAAGTCCAGAGGTCATACTGCAGCTTTATACATCATTAGTAAGGCCTCACCTAGATTATGCAGCTCAGTTCTGGTCTCCGTATTACAAAATGGACATAAATTTGTTAGAAAACATTCAGCGTAGGATGACTAAATTAATACATAGCATTAGAAATCTTCCTTATGAAGAAAGATTGAAGACTCTTAGGTTACATTCACTTGTTAGACGAAGAATGAGGGGAGACCTGATCGAAGTGTATAAGTGGAAGATAGGTATTAATAAAGGGGATATTAATAAGGTCTTGAGGATGTCTCTCCAAGAGAGAACCCGCAGTAATGGATTTAAATTAGATAAGTTTAGATTTAGAAAGGACATAGGAAAGTATTGGTTTGGAAATAGGGTAGTTGATGAGTGGAACAGTCTACCTAGTTGGGTTATTGAGGCTGGGACTTTGGGTAGTTTCAAATCTAGGTTGGATAAGTACATGAGTGGGAGGGTTTGGATTTGAGTGGGACTTTCACATCAGAGCTTATTTCTTGGGTGGCATTGAAAATTGGGTTGGGCAAATGTTTTGTTAGTGGGATGAATTGTAAAGGACCTGCCTAGTATGGGCCAGCAGGCCTCCTGCAGTGTTCCTCCTTTCTTATGTTCTTATGTCTATGTCGGATATGAGGAGGAGGAACAAGATGGGAGTGAGTACTGTGCCTTGTGGAACAGAGCTTTTCACCGTAGCTGCCTCGGACTTTACTCTGTTGACGACTACTCTCTGTGTTCTGTTAGTGAGGAAATTATAGATCCATCGACCGACTTTTCCTGTTATTCCTTTAGCACGCATTTTGTGTGCTATTACACCATGGTCACACTTGTCGAAGGCTTTTGCAAAGTCTCTATATATTACATCTGCATTCTTTTTATCTTCTAGTGCATTTAGGACCTTGTCGTAGTGATCCAATAGTTGAGACAGACAGGAGCGACCTGTTCTAAACCCATGTTGCCAAGGATCGAACCACGGACACTGTGTGTGTGAAGCGAAAGCATTGCCTGTTAGGCCACGTGCCACCGTGTACCCTTCTCGCCAGTCTGTGGCAATAGAGATTTTACACTTTTGCAAATCCCATAACAAATTGTGCAAATAAGGTATCATGTTGACTCGAACCATAGCTTTATTTCCACCTGAAGATGTTTCAAGGCTCAAGCCGAGTTTGTAGCTTATTGAGAAGGCTTAGCAACATAACACTGACCACTATGCAACAACAGGTACAGTGAAACCTTGATTTAACAGATCCCAATTTAGCTGATTTTAAATTTAACAAATAAAACCTGTACCCAGAAACAATGGCCAAAATCCATTGAATATACATTTGTCTGTTATTGTCATGTTCTGCTGAATAAATTTATTTTGGACTTAATGGACAGTGTCTATTGTTTCCAAAATTATCCATTATTGTTATTGTATGCTGGGCAAAGTGATTTCAGATTTAATGGACAAAGTTCATTAAATCCTGAATTGTTCATTTTTATTATAATCCTGGAGCAACAATTTCATCATTTGAATCTAACAGACAATTGGGATTACCAAACATCCTCTTTCCTCTATTAGTCCATTAATTTGAGGTTTTGCTATATTGAGATGGAATCCACCACGTGCTTACTTTGTACCCGCCTGTACTCTGACGGGAATTATATAAAATGCAGTTACCCGAGTTCATGCTTCAGTCATCCACAAGGTGTAGTTTAAAATATTTCTGAAATTTAATTAGCAGGTAGTATCATTTCATAGAAAATCTGAAGTAAATTACTGGTGGCTGAGAGGAATTAATCCAATATCTTGTTCAACTCCTAATTCTTCTTAATATCTTGTCTTTTACCTCCACTCTGATAATGCTAGCATATCACAATAGCAAATGATTTTTTGCATTTTAGTATTGTTTTTCTTAGTTTGTTTATGTTGCAGTTTCAGGAGGTTTTCCATCATTTAAATTTTTTAGTGTCATTAATAATATAGTACTATGATTTTTCAGGGCAGCATTTTCTCATGTAATGGCAGACCGCATACTGTTAGCTGCATCTGTAGTTGCATCTGCAGCATTTATTCTTGGAGGGCAAGAGATTTGTGCTGCTGTTATCGCTTCCATCACCACCAACATCCACACACCTTGTAAAGACATAATCACCATGGCAACGTGCATACTAAATTGTGCAGGTTTGCCATGTAATATTAAGTCACTCTTAGCTTAGATTTAATTTCACTGGAGCAAAGAAACTTACATTTCTGCATTTCAAGTTCAGTACATTTTGTTCTCATCGAATATGACATTATGAGCTATAGGAATTGCTGTATATTCTTAAAGGACAATATAGTTTTCATAGTAGCCTAAGGTTTCTAGCTATCTCATTACAAAAATTATTTCAGGGAATACTAATACATGTTTTGGAGTGGTTGGTGCAATTATTTAATAAATGTATGGAAGAGGGTAAGGTACCTAGGGATTTGGCAGAGAGCATGCATAGTTCCTTTGCATAAAGGCAAAGGGGACAAAAGAGAGTGCAAAAATTATAGGGGGATAAGTCTGTTGAGTATACCTGGTAAAGTGTATGGTAGAGTTATTATTGAAAGAATTAAAAGTAAGACTGAGAATAGGATAGCAGATGAACAAGGAGGCTTTAGGAAAGGTAGGGGGTGTGTGGACCAGGTGTTTACAGTGAAACATGTAAGTGAACAGTATTTAGATAAGGCTAAAGAGGTCTTTGTGGCATTTATGGATTTGGAAAAGGCGTATGACAGGGTGGATAGGGGGGCAATGTGGCAGATGTTGCAGGTGTATGGTGTAGGAGGTAGGTTACTGAAAGCAGTGAAGAGTTTTTACGAGGATAGTGAGGCTCAAGTTAGAGTACATAGGAAAGAGGGAAATTATTTCCCAGTAAAAGTAGGCCTTAGACAGGGATGTGTGATGTCACCGTGGTTGTTTAATATATTTATAGATGGGGTTGTAAGAGAAGTAAATGCGAGGGTCTTGACAAGAGGCATGGAGTTAAAAGATAAGGAATCACACATAAAGTGGGAGTTGTCACAGTTGCTCTTTGCTGATGACACTGTGCTCTTGGGAGATTCTGAAGAGAAGTTGCAGAGATTGGTGGATGAATTTGGTAGGGTGTGCAAAAGAAGAAAATTAAAAGTGAATACAGGAAAGAGTAAGGTTATGAGGATAACAAAAATATTAGGTGATGAAAGATTGGATATCAGATTGGAGGGAGAGAGTATGGAGGAGGTGAATGTATTCAGATATTTGGGAGTGGACGTGTCAGCGGATGGGTCTATGAAGGATGAGGTGAATCATAGAATTGATGAGGGGAAAAGGGTGAGTGGTGCACTTAGGAGTCTGTGGAGACAAAGAACTTTGTCCTTGGAGGCAAAGAGGGGAATGTATGAGAGTATAGTTTTACCAACACTCTTATATGGGTGTGAAGCATGGGTGATGAATGTTGCAGCGAGGAGAAGGCTGGAGGCAGTGGAGATGTCATGTCTGAGGGCAATGTGTGGTGTGAATATAATGCAGAGAATTCGTAGTTTGGAAGTTAGGAGGAGGTGCGGGATTACCAAAACTGTTGTCCAGAGGGCTGAGGAAGGGTTGTTGAGGTGGTTCGGACATGTAGAGAGAATGGAGCGAAACAGAATGACTTCAAGAGTGTATCAGTCTGTAGTGGAAGGAAGGTGGGGTAGGGGTCGGCCTAGGAAAGGTTGGAGGGAGGGGGTAAAGGAGGTTTTGTGTGCAAGGGGCTTGGACTTCCAGCAGGCGTGCGTGAGCGTGTTTGATAGGAGTGAATGGAGACAAATGGTTTTTAATACTTGACGTGCTGTTGGAGTGTGAGCAAAGTAACATTTATGAAGGGGTTCAGGGAAACCGGCAGGCCGGACTTGAGTCCTGGAGATGAAGTACAGTGCCTGCACTCTGAAGGAGGGGTGTTAATGTTGCAGTTTAAAAACTGTAGTGTAAAGCACCCTTCTGGCAAGACAGTGATGGAGTGAATGATGGTGAAAGTTTTTCTTTTTCGGGCCACCCTGCCTTGGTGGGAATCGGCCAGTGTGATAATAAAAAAAAATACTAATTTTTTTTTTTTTTTTCAACAAGTCGGCCGTCTCCCACCGAGGCAGGGTGACCCAAAAAAGAAAGAAAATCCCCAAAAAGAAAATACTTTCATCATCATTCAACACTTTCACCACACTCGCACATTATCACTGTTTTTGCAGAGGTGCTCAGAATACAACAGTCTAGAAGCATACACATATAAAGATACACAACATATCCCTCCAAACTGCCAATATCCCAAACCCCTCCTTTAAAGTGCAGGCATTGTACTTCCCATTTCCAGGACTCAAGTCCGACTATATGAAAATAACCGGTTTCCCTGAATCCCTTCACTAAATATTACCCTGCTCACACTCCAACAGATCGTCAGGTCCCAAGTACCATTCGTCTCCATTCACTCCTATCTAACACGCTCACGCACGCTTGCTGGAAGTCCAAGCCCCTTACCCACAAAAACTCCTTTACCCCCTCTCTCCAACCCTTTCGAGGACGACCCCTACCCCGCCTTCCTTCCCCTATAGATTTATATGCTTTCCATGTCATTCTACTTTGATCCATTCTCTCTAAATGACCAAACCACCTCAACAACCCCTCTTCTGCCCTCTGACTAATACTTTTATTAACTCCACACCTTCTCCTAATTTCCACACTCCGAATTTTCTGCATAATATTTGCACCACACATTGCCCTTAAACAGGACATCTCCACTGCCTCCAACCGTCTCCTCGCTGCTGCATTTACCACCCAAGCTTCACACCCATATAAGAGTGTTGGTACTACTATACTTTCATACATTCCCTTCTTTGCCTCCATAGATAACGTTTTTTGACTCCACATATACCTCAACGCACCACTCACCTTTTTTCCCTCATCAATTCTATGTACATAATTTTAAGAATGCCTGCGAGTTGAGTTTCTTTGAATGGTGTGCATGACAAATAAAGCAGGACAGAGATAGTGAGTGAAGAAAATAACTAAAGCCAATAAGTGATTCTGGCAGGTGTTAAATGAATGTTTTGAGTGAATTTTCAGGCGAAAGAATAATTATGTCGTAAAACGAAAAGTAGTTAGAGGAAAGGTGCCTATTTTATGAGGAAGTGATGAGTAATGTATGCAAAAAAAAAAAAGTGTTTGAATTTTAAAATGCAGTGTTATGTATTAGATTAGTAGGTGTTGGATGTAAGAGTATATGCTGTAGATATGAATAGGAACTGGCAGGGAAGAGTAGACAATGGAGGAAAGAGTAGGCACTAGAGGGAAGAGTAGATGTTGAATAAGGAAGCAGAAGTGTTATAACACCTTATTGATTGTATCTGATGAAACAAATTTCACAATTGGCTCAAGGTGGAAAGAAACTTCAAATTTTTCTTGCAGTTGCCATATTCTTTTTTTTTCTGTAATGCAGAATTTTCCAGAATGGTCAGCGAATTTATAAAAATTTGTCTCTTGTTGAACGTTCATTGTTTTTTGGGCCAACTGGAAAGCTTTTATTTACATTAACTTAGTCATCTGCTGTCTATGGATATTTCTTTTACATATTTTAATGTCATTAATTGTGATTTTGTATGGTATTGTATTATGCTGTCTTTATTTGTGCAGATACAAGGCTCAGAGGGTACTGGATAAGTGCAGTAGTACTGAACTTTTAACAGTAAGAGTACCTAATTTTTCTTTTGATTTACTCTTGGGCTTAATTTGTTAAAGTTTTATGTTTTTCATTTTTCCAGTTACATATTCCTTTTAGTGTACAGTACGTATATGCATTTGTGGTTTCTATGTAATGATGACACTTGTAAATGTTATGCTTTTCAGGTAGAGCCTCCAAGGTTTGCTTGTAAAACATAGTTTGTCAGTAAAAGAAAGCATTGTCATATTTTAATTATTCAACATCAAACTCCTCATTTATTTCGTTGATGTCAGTACAAATTAAATTTAGGCTGACTTATGATGGGAGTGTTAGAATGAAGATAAATTATGTGTTAATTCTAGAAAGATTAGGTGAGATTCTTAAATTAATTTGGGTGCAAATATAAAACTTGCAGTCCACATCAACTCACAAAAAAATATGTTGATGCATAAAAGAAAATTTTCAAAACCACCTATTTTGTTTGGTAGACTCTGCTTAAAAAAAAGCATGACAAATATCCCTGTTTATACTGTATCAGTATGAACAATTTAACAAAATAGGGCTGATCTTGTATGGGAAATACCCCCTCAAGGGAGGTTCCTTGATGCTGTTTCAATCCCTTCCTTGGATCGAATCTGACTGCCTCCCATTCTCCAAGTGCTGTATGACCTCTCTGGGTTTAGAGCTTTACCCTAAATATAATACTGTAATAATGTATAGACTATAAATACATAAGCAGGAAAGCTTAACAGTTATCTGTAACAGTTTACACAGGTAACAAGTCAACTAAGAATAGTTATAAAATTTACCAGTAATATTTTTCTAGAACTTGAGTCGCATATATTTATGGAGAAACTAAACCTTTAGGGGTCATACAACGTCTGGGGAATAGAAGGCAATCAGGTTTGATCGAACGACTTTTTTTTTTTTTACCATGGGCAGGGAGGTTGAGGCCCAAGAGCTATATTCTCACAGGATGAGAAGATGAAAGGACTTGAGCTATTCAGAAGGGTGTCTGAAAGCTATTGTGTGCTGTATTGTGGTGAAAGAGGTTTTGAGTGAAAAATAGGGATGACTGGTCCAAGACCCCCCCCCCCCCAACAGACATTAGGGGACCTTCCTTAAGGACACCTGATTCACAAATTGGAGTAAATGAGAGATATAAAAAGAATTAATTTTTTCACCCCATTGGACATTTCCCAAGGTAAGGTGACCCAAAGTAGGAAGCATTCACCATTTATTCAAAAGCTGTCTTGCCCAAAGTGTGTGAACATCATAATTCATATTAGCCCCTGAAGCATACTATCCATCCCTAATAAACTACAGATTGCAGGCACTGTACTTTTCATCTATAGGACTCCTACTGACCGGTTTACTGTATAAGGTAAATTGCCTTGGTGCTTTTTGCTCTTCCCCTGTTGAGAGCCTCTATGCTGAAGCGAATATTCCATCCTTGTCCAATCACTGTGATGCCCATTGCCTTTGCTACTATGTTCGCGCTCATGCTTTCCGCAACCCTTCCATATATAGAATAGTCACCGATGTTAGTAGACATTATTTGTTCGTCGCCCCTGTTTACTCTGTCCCTTTTCTCTTTGTTTCCATTCACTCTCGTCTTCCCTTCAGTTACCACCTTTCTATGTTCAAGTTGCATCTCCCTTTTCCCTGCCCCCCTGGGAAGTTCCAGCTGTTTGAGTCTTGTTCTTTCTCGCTACCTTACGCGAAAGCCCAACTGCCTACAGTAGCTTCCTGCTCTCTTTTTCTTGATCACTTCCGTTTTCATTCTCATGCCTTCGCTGTATATACAGATGGCTCTAAGTCTTCTGACGGCGTCTGATTCGCAGCAGTGTTTCCGGACAGTATCGTATGCATTTACTATCCTTGGCTAGCATTTTTACTGCTGAATTGTATGCCATTCTTGTAGCACTTATCCATATTGCATCTATGCCTGTGTCACCTCTTGTGGTTGTTTCAGACTCCCTTAGTGCTTCACAGGCTATATGAAAATTTGATACGCCTCATCCCCTAGTTCTCCGTATCCAACTTTGGTTACACCGTATCTCTACCAGGCATATTGTTTTTTGTTGGGTCCCTTGTCATGTTGACGTTCAGGGCAATGAACAGGCAGACACTGCTGCACGGTCAGCAGTACACGACCTTCCAGTTTCACATAGAGGTGTTCCATTCACGGACTATTTTTGCTGTAATTGCTACCCATCTTCACACCCGTTGGCAACAACGTTGGTCTGATCTGCTCGATAACAAACTTCATTCTATTAAACCAAGCCTGGGTTACTGGCCATCTTCTTGTCATCAATGTTGAGGTAGGGAGACTACTCTCTCCCATCTTTGCACTGGCCACACTCTTCTTACTCACAGGTATCTCATGGAGAGGCGCCCTGTTCCTCTCTGTGAGAATTGTCAGGTTCCAGTATCTGTTAGCCACATTCTGTTAGACTGCTCACTATCAACGAGCACGCAGAATTTACCTCCGTCGTCTCCGCTCTGCTGCTCTCTCTTTACCTTCCCTTCTTGCTGACAGACCCTCCTTTAATCCGGATTCTCTCATTGACTTTGACAACTGATTTACTCCACAAACTCGGATGATGATGATGCCTTTTGCACTCCCCACAGCCCTTTCTACCTCAATCTCTTGCTACCCTCTACCCCTGCACTTTGTATAGCCCTTGTGGCTTAGCGCTTCTTTTTTATTATAATAATAATCTACCCCTGCACTATCCACTGCCCCGCTGTCCTCCATAACCTACTAATCATCCCTCTCCCTTTTGCCACCCAACACACTCGCTTCCTTCCCTGCCCTGCAGTGCTGTATGGCCCTTGTGGTTTAGCGCTTCTTTTTTTTTATTATTATAATAAGGTAAATTAAAATACAAACAATTTTGTCCATTTTATTCTCAAATGGCACTTGTATATCACAAAGGGAGTACAATAAAAATACTTGAGCTATGCAACCTCCTTCTGCATTTAGTAAATTTTTGTTTAGAAACGATAAAAATATGACCCTATTAAAAAAATTTCTGGATAAGTCACACAACGAAGGTATCCAACTCATGAAATCTTCATGATAAACTTATTTGGCATAACTACTCTTCTACCTGAAACATTAAACAGGCTGCAATACCATCACTATTGGGCTTAACCTAACATGTCTTAACAGTATTTGGCACTTCAATTTGTAATTTTGAGTAACAAGTAGATTTACTGTAAATTCATTGCTCAGGTAAGTACCCATTGGAGTTGTGAAGAGAAACACCACAAAGACAAGCTGCCTTGTTAGCAGTCCTTGCAATACATCTATTTTGACTTAGGTTATTTCAGTAATTACCTAATTTATAAAAATGTTTAAAAAGTTTCAATATGTGGTTTGTTAGCCACAATAATAAGTGAATAACAGCCTGAATTGTACATCTCCTGAGGTGTTTGGTGCATTTATGGCACGGGGTACATTATGCAGTTGGCTTAAAAAGTTGCCTCTTGCAACAGAAAGTACATCATTTCCGGATATAAGTTATACAGTAATGCTAGATCCAGGGCCCAACTTGCTTATCACATTTCTGTACAATAAACAAATGGTGAATACAGCACAAAATCTTTTCAACATTCTTTTAGAGGAACTCTATTAATAACTATACAGAAGACCACTGGATCAGTCCCGAGGTAATCTTGTGGAATATTTGTTGAGGGCCCACAGTTTCAAGGCCTGCCCCCTTTAACATTTACAAATGGAAATATTGGGGTGAGTAAATGCTGACCTGTAAATTAACATGAGTTTATATATATTGGAAAATGCCTTACTGGATCCCATAAACTCATAAGAACTCACCCCAAGGAGGTTCTGTCAGGACAACACAATACAGGCACTAACTTAACAGCTCTAAGTCATGTACAACTATTTACATAAGGCATTCGTATCCTTCAACGACTTGCAGTGGTTTTCTTTAAGCATACAAAATTGAACACAACATTCTCATTCCATACAACAAGACAATAAAAACACACCAATGGACAAAACCTATTGGTCAATGGAATGGCCGCGTCATTAACACGTAACAACATACTTGGCATCTTCACGTCACTCCAACACTGGCCAACAGTTAACTGGTCTCACTTTAGGAATGTTGATTGAATGACGTCATTATTCTGCATATCACAGTTCAATATCCAACAAATAATTGCAAAATAACACTGTACTATCACTAATTGCTATTTTATTTTTTAGTGTTAATTTGATGAGAGTATAAAGGATTTTACCAAAATCAACAAAAAATGAAGTTGACTTCTTGTAACAACTTGGTTTGGACTCGAGGCATCATGGCAGTATGACAAATGGGGGTGCATATGATGAATAGCTAAACTAATGATTATTACACCAGATGACAATGAAAGAATGAGTATGATGTTGCCAGTTAAAGTTGATTGTCATGTTATGCAAGAGGCATCTGCTGAAAAGTTGTTACATATAAAAGTCACTAATATTTTTTGCAATTTCAAGTTATGTTGATATAACAACGATGTTGAAAATATGTTGGGAGAGAAAACTGGCTAAAATGATGAGCAAGAGGGAAACTTGATGCACCTTAACAAAACTTAATTTTCTTGTTCTGAACATGTTACCATAACTTGATTTTTCATACATAAATTCTGTATGCAAAGTAAGTTTTAACAAGCGGAATCATTAATTAGAAAAAGAGAAAAATACATAAGCATAGCATTATGACAAGGGAAAGTATTTGTCACTTAACATAACCAACGATAAAGATGTGGCATTTAAGAGAGAATTTTTAATTGAACTGACTAAAATTTTTTTCAACCATTAATTTGCATGAATAAACTAAGAAAATTAATAATATAGCTTAAAATGACCAAAAATGACACATGGACGAATCAAGATGAAATATAAAAATAAATATGAATTGTAATGAATAGTTATAAGTAGGGCTGAATGACCCTTGTGGGTTTAGCACTTAGTTTTGATTGTATTAATAAATTATAAGTAGGATGATGGAAAAATTAATAACTGGATTTAGAGAATAATGCCCTGGTACCAGTTATTGAATGCATATACAGTGTTTGCTATTAAAAAATATATATGTGATGTGCAATGTCAAAATTTTGTAACTGACAAAATTGACAACTTGTAATAACAGTCGCTGTCACTACAATGAAAGTAGTTAAATGACTCTAAAATTAAAGCCATCCCTGATCAGGGCCCAGTTGTAGGAGTACAACCAATATTAAGTGTAAGTTTTTGTTTCACATTCACTTTTTATTAAATTTGTCCCCCTATGATGATATTGTTTTATGGGGTAGACACAAGTCAGCAGGCCTGTTAAATGACCAGAAGCTCAACTAAGTGGGCAACTGTGTGATTAAAACCCACATTGGGAGATTTTTACCTAACAAAATAACCCCATCCTCTCTTCCAACAAATATATATACTGTACCACAAAAGGCAGATCAAAGGAAAATTAATGGTGAGAATTATAATGCCTCTGAATTAACAATGGGTAAAAGTGAGAGCACTGGTCATCTCAAGCCTATGAAGATAAACCTACAATGAAAGCACCATAGGACATAAAAACCAATAATAAAAACTGTACAATATCCACCAGACTCCAAGTAGAGAATATGGTCTTGTATGAGTTAACATTATTCAGAAACAGGATGAATAATTATGCCCTAATTAGGGGCCATTTGTCTTCATCCAAAACTATTTGTTGTCCAAACCACAATTAGTTACAGTACTTAAGCCCAATAAATTTTCAAATTATGGGCAACTAATGTTTTTGGCACAAGAAAAATGCCCTCAGTCAATTTTTTTTTGTGACCTTGTCAACTGTTCTAATAGAAATGCCCATTATCATGGACTTAACTAAATTCATTAGACATTTAGATTTAATTACAGTATTTTAAACTTAACTATAGTTACAATAAAGTTTGTCAGATAACACTGATTAAAAGCCAAACAAACCTGCCCATTATGGGCAAAAGGAACAGAAAAGTTGATGGGCAGAATTAAGACTAACAAGAGCTTTCCCAGCACCATTTGTCCATGCCACCGCCCTGTTTATAACCTGACAATAGAAAAAAATTACACTCCATACTCGTGTCTTATTTTGTACTGAGTCCACAGGATCCACATCCTGAAGGCACAAAAGCAACTCATCCACAATAACCTACAGTATCCCTAAATTCCAGCTGCGCTACCTAGGTGGTAGACTGCTGGCACTGGATGTGGTTGTGGGGGGTGTAGAGCATGGGGAGTGGGTGGGGCGAGCAGCACGAACAGCCTCAGGTCATTGGAGAACTGGAACGGTGGCTGTCTTCTCTGTAGGTGAAGTGAGTGCAGAGAAATCAAAAGTTGTGGTAGGAATGAGAGGGGAAACAACTGGTGGAGGTAAGTGAGAGTACTGTGGCAGTGCAGGGAAGGTGAAATGATGGTGATTTCTTGGTGACCCATAATGTGGACTCAAGCTTGCTAATGGGCTCAAACTAGACCACAAATGAAATGGTAGGTATGGAGATTTTGTGCCTACACCACTATAAGGTGGTGATGGTAGATTTACTAATGGAGTATTTAAGCTAGATGCAGAAAACTGGCGCGGTGATAAGACAGGTGGAGATCCAGTAATAGCTTCAATAGAGAGGGGAGATGGCTTAGGTTTTGGTCCTGAGCGTCCCTTGCCTGGCCCGGCATTGGTCCCAGTGACAGAAGTGGTGGCTGAAGAAGATGCAGGATTACAAGGGACTAGTTTATGTTCCCGAACTGGAGGTGGTGTAAGAGGTGACAAGGGAGGTGGAGAGGGCAATGGTGACCTTTGACGAAGGGGCGAGCGCACACGTGGCACAGGTGATTGTTGATATGATGGAATAGGTGAATGCTGGTATGGAGATTGCGAGCGTGGAGAACGTGAGCGTGGGCGGCGTTGTTCCTCTTCTCTTCTGCGTTCCTCAGCTTCCTCTTCTCTACGACGGCGACTGGCTTCTTCTGTTACAAGATGTAATGGTGCTGAGGGTAAACCATCTGTTGAGTCTTCTGAGGGTGGAGACGGTGAACGCTGGCCAAGATCTGGTGGCCATAATGTAGGTGGTGGCTGTGATGGTGCAGGGGATTCAGGCTCTGGCCTCCGTGCTAATGCAGATAGATACCCTCCTATACTTGCTGCAGCCATGTGGGAAAAGGCTGCAGAATACATATGTGCCAAAGGACCTGTGGAAGGCCAAGTAATACATATAAGATATGCAGGATTTTGCTACACCAGTTAATGAATTTAACTGAATTATGAGATTTCAGAGAAGTAATTTTTATCTCAGAAATATGTCCAAGGGTAGCTTTGTACAATTTAATAATTTTATCACAAGGTTACCATACATGCTGCATGACTAATGGTTTTATACTTCCCAATAATGATTACTATAATAATTATAATTATAATAATTTACACAGCTGACAAATTTTCCTTAAAACATTATTAGCAGTGAATTTTTAAGTGAAAAAATTAATATTTTATAACTGTGTCAAGATGAAAATACTGTATATTGTTATTAACCTGAGTAATTCAAATGGCAGAAGTATAGTATAGAATCAGTATATAGTACTGTAATTCACAAGTAAAATGCAAATCATAAGTTAATTAAAAATTTCTTGAAAATTTCTTGTTGAATATATTCCACTTGGGGTTAACAACAAAAAGAAAAGTAGTACAAGTATACTCAAGCAATAAGCATACTACACTTACAGTGTTTGTAAGAATTAACTACTGTAAATGTTTTCTTGTATTCCATAGTAATGTACATCTCAAAACATAATATAAAGCAGAGGACAGTTCTATTTTGGCAATTCTGCAATAAAATTACACCCACTTCCTCTTGCTATTGTTTTTCCTTAAAATATTGCATAAGTGTTACGGTATGAAGTATACAATTCAATTAAATCTAAATTTGTTATTCTCAAACTGCACCACAGTCATGCTTGTATCCACTGCTTGCTTCTCTGTTGTTAATGTAGAAATATTGTACATAAAGAGGCCTTACTTTACATAATCTATCATATTCATCCCTGTCTACATTATTATTTACAAACTGCAACCATAAGAATAAAGATGTTTATATAGAGAGCAGTGCTATAATTAATATCTAAACATCATAGATTAGCAGTATACTACTGTATTTCCATTCTGTATATATTTTTTATGCAACATCTTTCAAGGAAAGTTCCTTGGTGCAAGTGAGGGGAGCTACCAGACGAGCCTGGAGTAGAAAAGCTCTCATAACTCATCAGAGATAAAGGTCCCTTTCCCTTGAATCAAACCTGATGGCCTCCCATTCTGTGAGCACTGTATAACACCGAGTTTAGTGCTTCCCCATAAATATAATTTATAAACAGTACAACACACACAGCAATTGGATGGATGTTATAATAATGATATCTTACATTATTTATGCCAAGGCTGGGTGTTATCAAATGGGTGAAAAGTAATGAAAAATTCCCTGCTACCAGTGTGTATTTCCACTTGTCAGCTTATGCTATTTTCTATCAATATTTATACCATATTGGAATATGGAGCATTTAATGTCTATATGAGTGCTTCCAGATGATGCTAGATAACATTATTCATGATGGGAATTTAGCTCTAATTGAAAGATGGTTTGCTGCTGGTCTCTTTCAACATAGTGAATGTCTAAATACATTGCAGGCTGTTTAAAATATTTTTTGGTAGTTAGTGTAACTAAGTGCCCAAGTGAAAAATTTTTGTTGCTACACATACTGTACATATACGTACAGCCTCCCCTCAATTAGTGACGTACTCGTACACCGACAACTTGGACTTACGACGGGCTCTCTGACCAGTATGCATACCTAAATAATGTACAGTAGACCGTCGTTTAGCACGAGTTTATTTGGCACGATTTGAGTATAGCACAACTGAAGAATTGCGACACATTTTTATGTAACACATCGTATGATCAATTTAACACAATTCGCTGGAGGGGAAAAAATTTTAAGAGTGCAGTCGCCTGCGGTGGGTTATACCATTGAGTCAATGGGGGAGGCCTACTGCAATCCCCCCGCCACTCACACCCACCCCTACCACGCTCCCAGCCTCCAGTTCGGTTCATACTCGTGCAGGACGAAGATACTCAGGAACCTAGCTGTGTTTATTTACATACATATTTTCTTATTTTCATTGCCATTTGTTAAATCTGCCAAGCAATCAAGGCACCCAGTAAGCATACAAGAGTTGCTGGAAGTGACAAGAAAAGGTTTAAGCATTCAAGTCTAGGAATTGCAAAGAAAACTTGAGATATTAGACAAGCTTAAGAGTGGATCACGTGTGGTGGATGAAGTGAGGGCCTATGGCCTTAATGAAGCGTCTGTTCATACAATTAAAAAGAACGAGGCGAATATACGAGTTTGTGTAATGAACAACCCAAGATGTTATCTCATGAAAAGAATGACACGTAGGTCTCAAGTAAATAAAACAGAAAACTTGTTGCTTGAGTGGACTGAACAAAAGACAAAGAAAGATGCACCACTTAATTTCCTCTTAATTAGGGAAAAGGCCTTACAGTTGTTTAAAGCAGTGTGTGATAAGGAAGGAAGGCCTGAAAAAAGAGTGTGTGTTTAGCACAGGCTGGTTCCACACCTTTAAGTTGCATAATAAGTTACATAATATTAAGTTTTCTGGTGAAAGTGCTTCAGCTGATCATACAGCAGCAAGTAATTTTCCTGATGAATTGCAGGAAATTATTTCTGAGGGTGGCTATGAGTCACATCAAATGTTTAATGCCGACGAGACAAGTGTTTTTTGGAAAAAAAATGCCACCATGAACTTATATCAGTCAGCAAGAGAAAAGTGCACCAGGCTTCAAGACAGCAAAGAACCACTTCACCTTGCTCCTTTGCGGTAATGCATCAGGTGATTTCAAGTGTAAGCCCATGGTTATTTACCGCTCTAAGAATCCTTGTGCTTTGAAAGGTGTAGATAAAAACACCTTACCAGTAATTTGGAGGTCAAACCAGTCAGCATGGATGACAGAGGAAATATTTATTGACTGGTTTAAGCATCACTTTATTCCTCAAGTCAAGTTTTACCTGCACAGCAAGAACCTTGCATTTAAGGCTCTCTTCATTCTTGATAATTCCCGTACTCATCCACAAGCTTTGCTGGATGTGACCCCAAATGTAAAAGTTGTATTTTTACCTCCAAATACATCTTTAATACAACACAAAAAGAGTTATGAAAAAACTAGTTGCATCAATGGACTCTGATTCCAACTTGGCAGTACCAAGCTTCTGGAATAAATTTAACATTGCAGATGCTATCAGCTATGCTAGAAGTGCATGGAATAAAGTGCCCCAATCAGCATTAAATGCAGGCTGGGGAAAGTTATGGCCTTTGTGGTTAATTCTTTCACTGGTTTTCCCTTGCTTTAGAGTCAGGTTCAGGAAATTTTTCAGCTGGCAAGGAGATTACCAGGTGATGGTTTTGAAGATATGAATGAGCTCAGAAGATGATGATGATGAAGAGAGGAGTCCAGAGGAAATGTTAGCAGAGCGCGCTGTATAGCCCTTGTGGCTTAGCGCTTCTTTTTTATTATAATAATAATAATAATAATAATAATAATAATCAATGCACAGATACAAGGGAGGGACATAACAGATGAAGAAGAACCAGAAGAAAAACAGTTAACATTGCAGCAGTTATGTGAGCAGTTTCGTGCTGCTGCTAAACTAGCAGACTTTTTCACTGAAGAGGACCCTGACAAATCTAGAAGCATTGCTTTGAAACAGGATCTAGATGAGCTGATGATGCCTTACCGTCAGCTGTATAATGTATTGCAGGGTAAAACAGCCCAGAGAACCATTACAGAATTTATGCACACTCCAATACAACCATCGACTTCAGTACCAGAACGTCTACCATCCACTTCTGTCGACAACCAACAACAATCCACCTCAGCCCAGTAGGGCCACACCATCCATATCCACTCTCTCCACAATCATCCACACATACCATAACCCACAATTTAAGGCAAGAAATAATATTTCTATTGCATTTTTAGTCTTAAGCAGTAATATATCACGACAATGAAGTACAATTACATGTTCACTTTTATTTTTGTAAGATATGTTGGTCTAAAAAAAAGGTGTTTGGCTTTTTGGGGCCTCCCAGAAACGTAATCCTATTTTTCCCATAAGTTCTTCAGTTTATTTAGCACGATTTTACCTAACACTGAAATTTCAGGAACGTAACTACTGTGCTAAATAACGGTCTACTGTATGTTAGAACTTCTATTCTGTTTATTACAATATGCAGTACACTACTGTATAAACATTTAAAAATATACTACAAATGTTATAAATGGTGCAAAGGTGACATTAAAACAACATCAAAGATGGTTGACACAAACCCACTGCGTACCATCATAGTATGCTCCGTCGTTAAGTGAGGAGAGGTTGTATATATATACTGTACATGCTTCACATAGTGGAAGAATTCATTAAAGTAACAGATCTTTTGTATTTCAATGCTAAATCCAAAAATAATGCAAATATCATTCACTTTTAGGAGGAACGCCCCTTTACTTTTGATGAATTTTGAGAGTTTTCATATTCCTGCAGCCTCTACCTGCCCTTTGTTATTGTACCTACTGAGAAGCCAATAATGAATATTACTTCAGATGTTTTGCAGCTTCCATATGAAATTACCTTGCCCTTAATTTCTAAGAGCAATCACTGATTTTGTCTATTTTTTATCTAAATAATGTTTTTATTTATATTAATGATAAAAATGACCACATAGTACATGAACCCAGTGATGCCAAGTATTTTATCACCAATATTTCCTAAGAATCCAATACTGTACAGAAATACCTAGCATTTTTTTTTTTATCAACCCATTCATGCAGAATTAAGCCTAAGATTTATCATTGATAATTTATTCAAATAAAAGTTTAATATTCATATGCAAAATGTTCAGATTATTTGTGATAATTATAATATAATTAAACTAAACACTAAACCTGAAAGGGTCTTTGTGAAAAGAAATTTATTTCTCTATATATACTATTACAGTAATACCCCGGTTTTCGTCCTTAATCTGTTCCAGAAGGTCATCCGAAATGGACAAACACCGAAGTAATATTTCCCATAAGAAATAATGTAAATCCAATTAATCTGTTCCAGACACCCAAAAAATATTAACAAAAAATACATTTTATAGAGAATCACTATATTTTACACACAGAAAACAATGAGATATAAATATACAGTGTTAATTTTATTGGATAAATGAACATTTAAATCAGTTTTACCTTTATTGAAGACTTGTTGGCATATTCTTTACGAGATCTGCAAATTATTGCCTCCACAACTATCTCCCACTAACTGTTTTTCATTGATCCACACTAACAACAACTTCTCAACATCTTCGCTTGTTTGCCATCACTACCACCATCACAACCACTACCACCCACTACCACCCTCTACCACCATCACAACCACTACCACCCTCTACCACCATCACACCACTACCACCATCACTACCATCCTCTACCACAATCACTACCACCCTCTACCTTTGTAGAGGGTGGTAGTGATATTTCTCCACAAAACTTTGCAACTCATTCTACAAGTTCTTTCTTGAATTCTATCGTGTTTCTCACCTTCTTTACCAAAGGGCTGGCACTCTGAACTTTCTTTGACCCCATGGTGGTTTATTTCACAGTCGCAATCAATAAACAAGCACAAAAAACAATCGATGAACACGCGGAATATTGCTAACTCAATGAGAGACAGAGGCAAACTAAGACAGTGGTATACAGAGTCTGGTACGCGTGAGAAGCAGTGTGATTAGTGGCATTAAAAGAAGAAGGGAAGTAACCCCGGAAAAGGACTTGCTACCTCAAGTCCTAATGGAGGGGGATTCCCCTTCTAAACATTAAAAACTTCGACACTCTCCCCTCCTCCCATCCCATCAATCATCACCAGATCTTCATTAAAGGTAAGTGTCAATTATTCTATTGTGTTTATTCTATTGTTATTATTGTTATTGTAATTATTCTATTGCATTAAACTTAATATTTCATGTGGTAAAAGTTTTTTTTTCATACTTTTGGGTGTCTTGCATGGATTAATTTGATTTCCATTATTTCTTATGGGGAAAATTGATTCGCTTTCCGATAATTTTGCTTTGCGATGAGCTCTCAGGAACGGATTAATAACGTGAACCGGGAGTCCACTGTAGTTATAAAATTTGGTAAAATAATGTTAGGAAATCCTCAAAGAGCACTAATTAAATGGCAAAAATACAAAAAAACTGACAACTCATTATAAAGCACCTATGATAATTCAAATAATTTAAAGTAAAGCAGACCCTCTCAGGTTTAGTGCTTAACCTAATTATAATAATTACAGTAAAGCAATTAAGATTATTAGGCACTTACTCAAGGAGGAGTAGGAGCCAATATGAGCTGGTGGCGGTGTAGTCAGATGGTGTGTTGAAGCATGTGCAGGTGAAGGTAGCCTAGAACCACCAGGATGACTACTAGATGGGGAGAGGGCACCGGGTTGTAGTCCTGAAGCACTTGGTGAGTAAGGCGACATCCCTCCACTGGCAACTTTAGTATTACTATTATTACCCAGACTCTCCATCTTTACATGGAAGGGAATTTTGTTCTCCATTTTAACAATCTCTGGAAAAGAAACAAATCTGAAAGGAGAAAAAAATTAGTGGAGTATGACAGTGAAGGACAGTTTAAAATTCTAGATGAGAATTATTGGGGTATATGAATAATTCTATATGTATCTCAATGTATACATTTCAGCATAAAGGATCATACTATATATATACAGGTGCTTCTACTGCAACAATACTTCTGTCACTTAGACAAAATAGTTTATTCATTTATTTTAATCAAGAGAAAGCACTAAATATGTAGGGGACATTTAGCCCCTGGGTAATGGCACACATTCAGGTTCAGTTAAATGAGGGGAACAAAAGCAAATAATTACTAATAAAGTTCTGTACACTATTATGTCATCACCTTAAAAACAAAATGGGAAGGATACATTTACAGTATTTATTAATATTACATGTACTTGTATAAAAATTACCTACTTACAGTTGAATATCCTTTAATACCTAAACTAGTGAGAGAATCAACCCAATCCAAACTGATATGAAATCCATAAATGCAATTATAAGTTAGATTTCAGATTCAAAAATTTTCTTAAAAATATATACTGTAGATAGTGTACATAACATTTAACTGAAAATTTTGACAACACATATAGTGCTGTACTTTGTTTCAATACAAAAATTCAATCCAACAGATATACATATCCACCACCTTTTGTAAATCCACTCTGTTGCTCTGCAATCACCCTCTGTTATTTCAACTAATCTATCATTTGTAATTCTGCCATATGCTTAAACTTGTATAAAACAGACATTCATTCTAATTCTTATATTATCCTTGCCCATTTTCTCTATATACCAAGGAACCATACATGCTCTCTTTTAATCTATAGTCAAATTCACTGCTTTCCTACACAGAACTAATGTACACTAATTATTCCAACACTATCTCCACCTGCTCTCAGCATTTCAGTCTTAATCTCATCCATTCCTGTTGATTTTCTCCACTTCCAACCTTTTTAATACTTCTTTCACACTTGCCTATGGCTCTTTTAATAGATCATGCATTTTTGTCTTGACCATGAAGTTTATCTCCATATTTATTCAATTTCCCCAAATATTCTCTCCATCTTTCTAGTGCAACACCAATGTTAGCAAAGGTTCTCTTCAAACAGTAGATCACTGGAACAGATTGCCCACTGAAGTTGCAAATGAAAAAGCACAAAGGTCATTTAATACCAGCTTGACAAGCACTTTAAGAACATAAGAAAGAAGGAACACTGCAACAGGCCTACTGGCACATGTGGGGCAGATCCATGTCAACCCCTGGCTTAGACCAATGGCCCACCCACTCAGGTCGCCTCCACTTAAGGAAGGAGCACGGTATCTGACCTAGTAGCACCAGCTAGTCAGGTCCAACTCACACCCACTCATGTATTTATCTAACTTATTTTTAAAACTACACAACATCTTAGCTTCTATACCGGTACTCGGGTGTTTGTTCCAATCATCCACAACTCTATTACCAAACCAGTGCTTTCCTATATCCTTCCTGAATCTGAATTTTTCCAGCTTAAAACCATTGCTGCAAGTCCTGTCTAGGCTAGATATTTTTAGCATGCTATTTACATCCCCTTTATTCATTCCTGTTTTCCATTTATACAGCTCAATCATATCCCCCCTAATTCTACACCTTTCTAGAGAGTGCAGATTCAGGGCCCTACGCCTATCCTCAAAGGGAAGATTTCTGATACATGGGATTAACTTTGTCATCCTCCTCTGTATGTTTTCCAGTGCATTTATATCCATTCTGTAATAAAGAGACCAGAACTGTGCAGCATAATCTAAATGAGGCCTAACCAAGGATATATCGAGTTGAAGAACAACTTGAGGATTTCTATTATTTATGGTTCTTGATATGAAGCCAAGGATTCTGTTAGCTTTATCATGAATGCTTATGCACTGCTGCCAGTAGTGAATCAGATTCAGCCACATATGAAGGGGCTGGATGGTCAACAGAATATGGGTATTAGCCCTGGAAACTATCTCGAAACAATTAGCTGACCACAGGCTACACACATTCAGTACTTTGGATTGTAAGCAATGTGCATTTGTTTAATGTTGCATAAAGGTGCAACATTTTGAAGATAAGAACCCAAAAGCTCATTTCTCAAGCTACAATCAAATTTTGTAAACAAGGTTATCTAATACCATTTTTCGGTCTTCTGTTTAATTGCCAAATGTCCTGGAAGTCTTGCATTAACTCCCCTGCAAGCTAAATGCCACAGATGCCTGAACTTCCTTAAAACTCTAGAACCTTTCTTTGCTTTCATTCCACCCTCATCTTATATAAACCAGACTATGGTGACTATCCGTACTATTCAGCCTCCCATAATACTCTTTCTAAACTTGATCCTATTCATCTTTTCTCTCCCTCCTCGTGAAGTGAAGATTCATGTTTGCCCTTCTCCACTTCCATATGCCTGCTATAACTTCATGCTTGCCATTTCTTGATCATTTCCATTTTCATTCTCATGGTAGTGCAGTGTATACAGACAGTTCCAAGCTCCCTCTCTGATGGTGTTGGATATGCAACAGCTTTCCCTGACTCAGTCATCCAAGGTCATTTACTAAATTCAGACAGTGTTTTACAGCATAGTTATATGCAGTCTCATGGCTATCTTGCACAGTGAATTGGCATTTCCCTCATCATTTGCAGTAGTGAGACTTTTACAATGCATTACAGGCTATCCAGAAATTTGACTCCTGTCATCCTTTGCCTTCAACTCTGATTATGCCACATTTCTAGTAAATGCAAAGATGTCAGCTTTTGTTGCGTCCCTGGACATGACATTCAGGGTAATGAACAAGCAGACTCAGATGCTCATCAGCTGTTACTGATCTCCCAGTTTCTCGCAGGGATTATTTTTCAGTGATTTCTCGATAACTACAATTGATGGTAACACTGTTGGTCTGAGCAGGTCCACAACAAATTGTTTTCTGTCAAACCGTATTTAGGTTTCTGGCTATGTTACATTACTGTCATGTTTGGGAGACTGCACTCTCCAATCTATGCATTGACCACACACATCTCACTTATACCTCATGGAAAAACACCACTCACAGCACTCTGTAAGGACTGTTGGGTTGCACTGTTAGTTAAACATATTATATTGTTGGGCCTATCAGCGGGCACGCAAAATTTATTTCCATCACCTCTGCTGTCCAACACACTAGCTGTCACTTACTTCCTTGCTGAAAGTTCCATCTTAGACACACACTGACTTTTTAACAGAAACTAACTTACTGAACCAACTGTGATCATACTTTTCCTCTTGCACTCTCCACTACCCCAACTAACCCTTGCCCTTGCACACTCCAGCACTTCCTTCCCTCATTACCTTTGCACATATTTCTTTTCGCACATCCTTTCCTGCAGTGCTGTATGACCCTCTCAGGTTTAACATTTAACTTGACTTTTATTTTCATTATTATTATTATTATTATTATTATTATTATTATTATTATTATTATTATCATCTAGTTTTTTTTTATTAACACACTGGCCGATTCCCACCAAGGCAGGGTGGCCCGAAAAAGAAAAACTTTCACCATCATTCACTCCATCACTGTCTTGCCAGAAGGGTGCTTTACACTACAGTTTTTAAACTGTAACATTAACACCCCTCCTTCAGAGTGCAGGCACTGTACTTCCCATCTCCAGGACTCAAGTCCGGCCTGCCGGTTTCCCTGAATCCCTTCATAAATGTTACTTTGCTCACACTCCAACAGCATGTCAAGTATTAAGAACCATTTGACTCCATTCACTCCTATCAAACACGCTCACGCATGCCTGCTGGAAGTCCAAGCCCCTCGCACAAAACCTCCTTTACCCACTCCCTCCAACCTTTCCTAGGCCGACCCCTACCCCGCCTTCCTTCCACTACAGACTGATACACTCTTGAAGTCATTCTGTTTCGCTCCATTCTCTCTACATGTCCGAACCACCTCAACAACCCTTCCTCAGTCCTCTGGACAACAGTTTTGGTAATCCTGCACCTCCTCCTAACTTCCAAATTACGAATTCTCTGCATTATATTCACACCACACATTGCCCTCAGACATGACATCTCCACTGCCTCCAGCCTTCTCCTCGCTGCAACATTCATCACCCGTAAAAGAGGACATGCTCAACAAAATCTGCTAGCAATTTTGTTACATTATCATGCCAGCTATAGCATTTCATTTGCAATAACAATAAAAGTTGACTACCTTACCCCCACTGTTCTGTTTCATTTGATTCACAGGCCTTGAAGAGATAGTGATAAAAATATTCTGTATCTGAGTGCCACCTGACCATCTGTTATCTCATATCACTATCGTCCTATCTCACTACTTATCATAATCACATCCGCTACCACCAACAAAACACTCTAAACCCTAAGTATCCCTCTTAAATATCTATATTACAGAATTTCAGAAAATATTGTATAATATATATATATATATATATATATTATATATATATATATATATATATATATATATATATATATATATATATATATATATATGTCGTGCCGAATAGGCAGAACTTGCGATCTTGGCTTAAATTGCAACGCTCATCTTGCCATATAGGACAAGTGAAAATTTGTGTATGCAATAATTTCGCAAAAATCATTCTAAACCTAACGAAAAAAATATATTTCATTGTGTTTGTTTAGTATTAAATTATTGTAAACGTATTTAAAATATATTTAGTTGGATAAGGCTAAAATAAATTGCGCTTGTTATAATAAGGTTAGGTAAGTTTTCTAAGACTCTTCTGGTGCAAAATTATAAATTTTTGCATTAACGTTAATGAAAAAAATATATCTTTAAACGTATAAGAGAAATTTTTAGAAAGGACTTAATTTTAAATGAGTTCTTGCTAATTGACCAGTTTTACATATTCGGCACATTATATATAATATATATATATATATATATATATATATATATTATATATATATATATATATATATATATATAAATTAGGAGGAGGTGTGGAGTTCCTAAAAGTATTAGTCAGAGGGCTGAAGAGGGGTTGTTGAGGTGGTTTGGTCATTTAGAGAGAATGGATCAAAGTAGAATGACTTGGAGAGTGTATAAATCTGTAGGGGAAGGAAGGTGGGGTAGGGGTCGTTCTCGAAAAGGTTGGAGGGAGGGGGGAAAGGAGGTTTTGTGGGCGAGGGGTTTGTACAGTTTAGGAGACAAGTGTCCTAAACTGTACACAAAGGAAACGTTTACTTTAACGTTTACTGAGCTGTACACTAGTATCCTTTTCCACACATTTCTCCATGAATATAATAATTAACAAAGATATTAATTTCAGCCGTGCAACTGTGCCAATGTGCACTCACCTGTAGACAAACTTCTGTCCAAGGACTTTCTTGATGATATTCTTGTCGTAGTAATATCGCAAGGCTCTGGACAGTTTGTCATAGTTCATATTAGTTTTGTTCTTGCGCAGACCCCACAGTCGAGCCACTTCCTCAGCGTTAAGCAGCTTAAATTCTCCCTCGGCGTTGGTCCATGAAATGATGTGCTTGTATTGGTTACTCAGAAGCAGCTCCAGCAGGAACTGCCATAGTGTTATATTGTTCACCATCCCATCTGAAATGTGGCATTTACAGTAACATCACAAATTACTACTGTGCATGTTTTAATAACAAAGTCTACTGGTTATTAACCCTTCAAGGGAGGTTCCTTGATGTTGGTGAGGGGCTCTTGATCTAGGGAACTGGGTCTGTACTCCAATTCCCAGAGTTATGCCTGAATGCCTTCCATCCCCTCCCCACAGGCGCTATATAATTCCCCTAGGATTAGCGCTCCCCCATGATAATAACAATAGGTATTAACCCCCTCAAGGGAAGTCCCTTGATGATGAGGGGCTCTTGATCCAACGAATTAGACATGACCTCCTCTTCACTGGATCGAACCTGATTACTTTTCATTACTTCCACGAACTGTATAACCTCTACGGGTTTACGCTCCCATGAATATACGTCTCCCCAGAAGCTGTATGATCCATACAGGTTTAATGATCCTCCATGAAAATATTAGTAATAGGTGTTAAAATATCACCAACACATTTTATCTGTAAAGAATAAAGTCACAATACCAAGGATGAAAATAATCACAGTTAACCGATCTTTCCGCTCCATCCTGGATCATTATCAAATTTAATAATGGCTCAAGATGGGCCGAAACATCGACCTCTCTTTCATTTTCTACTTGTAGACTAGTTTTGAACATATTGTCTAAAACATTCAATTATTTTTTCCAGTGATTAGTTTAAACAGTGTTTCTACACTAGTAGCGTGACTCGAGGCGAAGGTTCCTGGTAACCCCTTGATAGTCAAAATGACTGTCCGCTGGCCCATGAATCTATCATAACCGTTAGGAACTCTTGACGCACTAAATGAGATATACATCTGCCCAGTGCTATGTATCTTAATTTATATACACGGGTATATACTGTGGGCGTCATAAATATACACGCCTGGCCCATGGCCGGGCTCAGAGTAGATATACTCTCGAAATTCTTCAAAGGTAAAGGTACGCCCATAAGTACGCCTTTAGCAGACTATTAGCCTGACAGATTCGAGAAGTGCTAGGGCAACTGTGGTACAGCAGACAGTAAAGCAGACAGTGCCCCCTGTCATACTGCCAAAAATAAAATTTGCTAAATTATTCTAATTTTTTCATACTTTAATGACTGGCCTGTACATTTCTTAATTAAACGAAAGCTTCGTGGCACAGACGTTTCATAATCACAAAATTTTTAAATTTTTAGTGCCATTAAGGTGTAAGGGGATACTGACCTTTCTATCCTCATTAAGTTAGCTTATCAGAGCCTAGGAGACATAAGGAGAGTATCAAATGGAAGCGTAATCCTATGAAGTACTTGTTTAGCTGAGTAGCACATATATATTTCAGTGTTTTATATTTAAAACAATAGATTATGTATGAGCAGTCTCGTTTTCTGTGTGATCTGTTTATGCATGTGCATATTTATGACGAATGTGTTAGTTACCATTTTGTCCTAGGCACATGTCGATTACGTGTGTGTGTGTGTGTGTGTGTGTGTGTGTGTGTGTGTGTTGTGTGTGTGTGTGTGTGTGTGTGTGTGTGTGTGTGTGTGTGTGTGTATTCACTTTCATGCGTATTTTAATTATTCAAGTATTATTGATGTTCCCATGCAGGTGATCTGACAAACTTGCAGAGAACTGCCAAGTGTAATAGACCCAAGACTTTTCAACAGCCTCCTATCATACATAAGGGGAATTGCCAACAGATTCCTGGTTGTCTTCAAGAAGGAACTTGACAAGTTCCACAAGTCAGTTCGTGATCAACCGGGCTGTGATGCATATACTGGACTTTGTGCAAATACCTCTAACAGCCTGGTTGATAAGGTCATCCACCGCAGGAAGGTCTTATCGGGAAGCGGGCCGCGGGGGCGCTGAGCCTCACTGCATTCTCCTGGAGGTTACCTGGAGGTTATTCCGGGGATCAACGCCCCTGCGGCCAAGTCCATGACCAGGCCTCCAGGTAGATTAATTTCATCCCTCATTTCCATTGGGGCTATTCCAATGATTGAAGTATATTTTAAGTTAAAATAATGTTTAGGGTGTAATTTCTGAGAGAGAACTGAAGAACAGCGTCTTCAAGTAGTGGTGACCTTGACTTGTGGAGTGTGTTGAGCCAACGACTGCCCGCCATGGAGCTGCGTCTGTCTTCCTGCTCCCTCTATCACCCTGCCATCACAGTGCTACCACAGTGCTACCACTGTGCCACCACAGTACCCTCGCAGTACCTCGTGCCCCTTTGCCCAGTAGGGGGCAGGCGCGGGCGGCGTCAACTAGGTATCTCCGGTGAGGCGTGCAGCGTCACCGTGGACGCCATGCGGGCGGGGGCGGGAAGTGCCAATTGTCGCCCGATTACAGCCATTCTGCCAATTACCACGCCCATCACGGCCCAGCGTCAGTGTCGACACAGGGATTGTCTACCACATTGGGAGGTCGGATGAATAATGCACACACTGCCTCAACTTGCCTTAATTACACAACGTGTGCCTCAGGCTCACCCATATTGTTTCACGAAAAAATATCTTCGTGAAAGCAATATTTAATTTTTTAATCTTTCATACGGACATATAATTGCCTGAAATCTTATCCAAACCCACCTACCTACCTAGAGGTTGTTCCGGGGGTCAATGCCCCTGCGGCCCGATCCATTACCAGGCCTCCAACGTACGAACCACAGCCTGGCTGGTCGGGCACTGACTTTAAATATCTATCCAGTTCCTTCTTGAAGACAGCTAAGGGTCTATTAGTAATGCCTCTTAAGTATGATGGGAGACCACTGAACAATCTTGGGCCTCGGACACTTATTAAAAATAGATGAGGGCAGAATGCATATGCATTTTGTATCATCCCTTGCAAATGATAAAAAAAAAAATGAGACATCTATAGAGACACCAGAAAGCTGCAAGATGTAAAAAAGAAAAAAAATTCTTGAAAATAGTATTATGTTTAATGGGGACAAATTCCAATTTCTCAAATTTAGAAGGAATGAGGAACTCGAAACGGGGTACAGTAAACAAAACACAAGAGCATCATCCCCATAGAACGAAAAAAATGTAAAGAACTAAGCATAATGTCAATTAACCTATCTTTTAAAGAACACAATAAAGGAAACACGGTAAAGGCCAGGAAAATGACAGGGTGGATAACTATCAAGTTCAAAACCTGAGAGAAAAAAAAAAAAAAAAAGAGTAAAGCCAAAGTAAAATTATTCAAATCACATGAGCTCTCTAGCTTGGAATTCCTCAAAGACCTGGAAATATTTACTCTGTGGAAAGAAGGGGAAATATATATGCTAGTATACTCTCAATCAAACATCTGAACTACTGGGAATTCTTGAAGTCCCTTCAGCTGTATTCCTTGGAATGTGGGCGAAACGTACACAACATACTCCTGGAAAATCCTAGAAGAACTGGTTCCAAACCTGAACATCAGACTCACTCTATATGACAACAAAAGACTTGGCAGACGGTGCAAAATACCTCCACTAAAAAGCAGGGAGCGTCAACGTACACTAAAAGAGAACTCATATGGAGTGATTTCGGTGTTCAGGTTTGGGACCAGTCCTTCCAGCATTTTCCAGGTGTAAATTATCTTCCTTTCTCGTCTGAGTTCCAAGAAATACAGGTGAAGGGACTTTTAAGTGTTCCCAGAGTGTGATCACCTGCAGTCGAGACAAGGTCACTCTATAGCCTTGCTAATGTACCAAGAACCAGTGATTCACAACCGTTTTAACATGGACACTGTGATTATACGACTGTCAAAGTAGTTAGTGAATGAGATACACCGTATGACGGTAATTACTGATTATAACAGACTGTAATGATAGTGATTGTTAGACTTTGTAGGTATAGTTAGTGACTATGATAGACTATGGGTTTAGTAATTATATGGGAGTAGCAAGTGGTTATAACAAGACTGTATGAGGATAGCTAGCAATATGATAGACTGTGGAGGGGGGGGGGGTAACTAGTGGTTATGATAAGAATGATTGGGGAAGTCGTGTCAAGTTGAAAACCGCAGGTAGTTAGGATACACTCCGACATAACTATGTTAACAAGCCTTATACTACTGCCATGATAAAACTGATCTAGCGAGTTGTTGCATAACTAGACACGCATATAGCATAGCAGAAACCTGTTTTATAAACGTTACTAAGAATTTTGGAACGGCCTGCTATATAAAATTAACTAAACACCAGACATGTATAATTTACCACTCCAATAAAATAGGCTGGTCCAGCACGGTCAAGACAGTGGTCGGTCTCACAGTGGTTCACTGTAATAACTACCCCACTTCCACGTGTCCTCTAACACTACCTGCTTGTTGCGTCCCCCTCTAGTGTTGGCACCAATTATTACGTCATGTCAAAGACGTGTTAAAGGATTTTGTTTCCCTGACTAATACAACAATAACGATTTCTTTGAATTTGATAACCTTACAACTGTGGTCAAAACTTAATTCTCTTTCCCTCTCCCTCCCTCATTGTAATCCTAAGGGAGCATCGACCAGCCTCGCACCCTTCAGGTGGATTACTTGCTATACTGAAGTTTACTGGGCTGTGTGAAGTAATTATTATCACACTTATCCTCCACTTATAAATACACAAATCAATATCAGTACGTTTTATATCATAGAAATTATACCGAGAGAATAATACAGATATTAAGGGAATACATTATTTATTTCACTAACAACGAAAGTCAGGGAATGGAGAAGTAATGATAATTAAGGTAATATACACTGCTAGAGGGAGTTACAACAATGTAGCTTTTTCACACATAAGAATGAATTCGTTTCTCCTCCATCGAACGTTCCCAACACCACCTTTCATCGACCTTCATTATCTTCACAGCATTCACACTATACACTGATCTTGAACACATCTCCACTGCTTCCAGCCTCCTTATCGATACAACATTCAAACATCTTACTTTATACTCATACAAAAGTGTTGGCGCTACCTTACACAATGATAAAAGTCTTTTCTTCCACACACTCCTCTCAACACTCTTGCTACCTTCTTTG